GATGGACTGTTTTACTCGCTTCAAGTATCTTCTGCTTCTATCAACTTTTCTGTACTCGACTGAAGAAGCCTACTGTGTAGGCGAAACTTTCGAAATAAAGATACCTAACTGTTGCATATGTGTCTTAACCTAACAACAGGTTTAGCCCTCTTGCTGTGAGGTTACTTATAATGGATTCTTTCGGGGGTCAGTGCCCCCATGGCCTGGTCCCAGATCAACCTGGTGGATCAAAGCCTGGTCTAACCAGGCTGTTACAGCTGACCACACTCATTCCAGCATACGAACCACAGCCCAGCTGATCAGGAACTGATTTAAAGAACCTGTCAAGTTCCCTTCTGAAGACAACCAGAGGTTTGTTGGTAATTTCCCTTTTGAATGGAGGAAGTGCGTTGAGTCGGGGACCTCTGACACTCCTCGAGTTGATCTCTTATTGTGCTCGTTGTGCCTCTGCTTTTTAATTCAGGTATTTTGCACCATCTACCAAGTATCTTGTCGTATGGAGTGATTTCAGTGTGCAGCTTTGGCACCAGTCCCTCCAGGATTTTCCAGGTGCAAATTATTATGTACCTTTCTCGCCTACATTCCAGTGAATACAGCTGAAGGAACCAGTGAAAGTTCTGTTTTCCAGCTCAGCAATCTCTCCTGCCTTGAAGACGGCCGTCAGTATACAGCAGTATTCCAGCCTGGAGAGAAATAAGAACATAAAGAATGAGCACTGCAGCAGGCCTACTGGCCCAAACTAGTAAGGTCCAACTCACACCCACTCATGTATTTATCTAACCTATTTTTAAAAGTACACTGTTATTTAAAGACTATCATCGTTGTAGATGAATGGTTCTTTGAACCATTCATCTACAATCCTGTCAGACACTGCAACTTCTTGGGAATTCTTCACTTGCCTAACCCTTGGGCACGACCTACTTCCACACTGGACAAATGTGACACCACCTACGACTGCTGCACCTCTCCTGCCTACGGTTTATAAGCTGCTTCTCCGCACGTATGCCGTATTCTATTCAAGATTGATGGACTGACCACATCGACTCAAGGTTGAGGGACTGATTACCTAATTCTTTTCCTGTTCTTCAAGTTTATCCTTTGTATGGACTGATGAAGCCACTGTGTGGCGAAACGTTTCCTCAATAAAGATACCCAAGAGTTGCACGTTGGTTGGAAATTATATAGCCTGTTTTGCGTTTAGATTGTATTGTATTATATTACATTGTGCGCTAAACCCGTGTGGGTTACTAAGCCTCTCTGACCACTCAGGTTGTTAGTGACAGCGTGCAGCTTTGAACAGTTCCTGGTTACGTAGTGGAAGGACTGGTACTGAACGGCCTTGAGAGGATAGCAGGGGATAGCAGCTGACATCAGCGTTCTAGTGGAAGGTTGAGTTGTTTTTACTTAGGGTTGGGGAGATGGGAGGGATTGAGAGGGAAGGATTGAGATTGATGAAACGAATGGAGAGTGTAGGATTGCATTGGAGGATGGTGGTTTTGATAAGGACTTGCCTTGTAGGGAGCCAGTAGCCCTTCTGCAGTGTTCCTCTACTATTATGTTCTTAAGGAATAAGGGATGGGAAATGGGGACATGACCCAGCGCCATTTTTTTCAACCTTTACTCTATGCAAAATAAGTTTTTTAGATCAACACGGGACAGAAATTTTAGACTAAGTTAGGTATTAAG